CATATTTATGAAAATAAAATAACATAAATTATAAAATAACATAAAATACATAAAAGTAAATTTACTTTTCTGAGAATGTTTAGGCCAGCAGAGAAGGCCTTGCTGGCCCTCAGGGTCCGCCACTGCCGAAACCCCTCCCTAAAATAAATAAATAAATAAATAAATAAAACCCGCGGTGCACCCTGTCTCGTAAAAAATTGACTAATGGTGAAAAGATTGGGTCAGAAAAAAAATGATTGTTTATTATTCATAAATTGTGCCTTTCAAGAGCCCAGAAAGGGTTAATATCTGGCTATGTGTGGCTTTTTGGAAAACAAATGTTGACGTCTAGACACCTCCTGTGATTGTCACACTTTTTGTTCCAAACCGAACCTGGACCCCGTCAGAGAAGGGAAAAGTTATTTGGCCCTCACAGGAAAAAGTTTGGGGACCCCTGCCCTAAGGTGACATGGAAGGAAAAAAAAAAAAACAACTTTGCCATACCTTGCAAAGTTTTGCATTCCCTCTCCGTAGAAAAGAGGTTTTGAACGACTACATTTAGATTTGTGGATATGGGATTTCGCTAGAATAATTATTAACTTTATAATAAAGACTTGTTTAGTTTTTTCATTGTTGTTTAAGAAGCCAAACTACATTTTTCCAGTAAAGCGCAAACATTAACAAACTATTAAAACTCAACATTATTAAAAATAAATCGAGATATAGCTTTCGAAAATTTGTTGGTGTACGGACAGCTGCTTGAACAAGTGGATCATCGTTTCAGGGGACATTCCACAAAACAAACAATCAACACAGATGGTGAAGTGAAGATACTGTCGCGACGTAGCGCAGCTTTGACGTTTCTCAGCTATTCTTCAAGAGCCGGAAAGAGCACAAGCTGGTCATGTGACTTGTGCGCGTGACCACAGGCGTCTCAGCTGGTGAAAGACCGGAGGACAGTTTTCGTTTTACGCATCGTTGATGCAGTTCTAAATTACCTTTCCGGCAGGTATGTGGAGCCGTTTCATGTTTCGAAAATACTTTTAGCTCACTTCTGTAATGTAGTCAGCTGGTATAACTTGTTAAACACTTTCGAAACCAAGTCAAATGGCGAAACGGAGCATTTAAGAGCAAAGTGGCGCTAGTTAGCTTGCGCGCTAGCATCATTGAATGTGTTTGTTGGTAAACTTAACTGTTGCGTACGGTAATTGTTGTTTGTTGTCACGAATATTGAATTTATTAGTGTTTTATTCCTAATGCCAATAGAAATATTGAATGACACGTGAGGAGACTGGCCACCATGGCAGATGTGAGTATTTCCAGCTTCCTACGTGTTTCTTACTGTGCCTTTAGCACAAATGTTACATTTTAGACAACTTTACGATTGCGTGACCATATTCTCTCCATATGAATTTTATATTATGGTTATCAGTGTTAGTATAGTAATTCTAAAATAAGTGTCAAAATTAATCTTTGAATCGGAAAATGGATGGATGGATATACTTAAGACAACTGCGTCAAAGTATTTATTGACCTTGCGTTCGTGTACAATTTTGGGTGGTGATCATGAAGTATTTTTGGGGGACCTTTTATTTTATTAAGTATATGGAGGGGTAGGTTGAACATAATCATAGAGTGGAAGTAAAGTTTACACGATCCGCTCAAATGCTAGGTTTTTGAGACTAAGAAAACTGATTCGAAACCGTTGTCAGTCCAAGAAAATGACGAAATGATGTCACACACACACACACACACACATATATATATATATATATA